CCAGTTCGAACACTGTTGTTTGCTTGATTGCTTTCAAGTGATCTTTATTGAATTAATGATTACGTTTTTATACAAACTAAATGCTTACGTAGCTAAATAATAAGGGCATAAAAACTTTAGATCGTAAGCAAAATTATTGTAAATTCTTTATTCCCACGTTTTGGTTCACATAAGCATAATTAATGCAAATGCTTTATTCCCACGTTTTTGTTGACATAAGCATATTCCACATTTTGCGTCATTTGCGCACACTAATCAACAATGTCTTATATGTAACTTGACACATGCCAAATTATTTGGCTATAAGAATACACTAAAAGGCATAAAGTGCAAGCTACGCATAAAAGAATGCAAGCGAAAATTAATACCCTGTTGAATAAAGCCAATGCAATATTAATATGTCGACTTTTCTTATTTAATAACAGTTGTGATAAATTGTTTTGTTTTGCTAGTGTACGTTGTAATCATATATGTAATACTCCTATATTGGCAGTAAGAGCTAGTGCCGTCCGAAAACACTACAGTACAGATATTTCAATAAACACGTACGAAAGAAAAGGAACCCATACGTTTATAAATAAACATGTATACGACACATTTACAAAAACGGCACTCAAGTACACAATACATTGACAAAAACAGTACTAGACTGTCTCGCTTTGATTTCGGAATGCTTACACATTGAGATGTTAGCTTAGTACCAATATAGAAGTATTACATATATGGTTGAAATGATCTCATGATCGCATGTTTTTATGTTTTTGTTTTTGTTTGTCAAAATAAAATTTTACTACATCCTTTCGTACGTAATTTTTGTCGAAACGAAAGGGAAGGGAGCGAGAGGCCTCTCCCCCCCCTTAGTGTCCCGGTTTGGCAACAGAGATATCTGGCATCCCTAAGCTAGGCGCCAAAAAAGATGGTTCTGGCCAATGTTTTACATGTGGGAACCCAGGCCGCTTCGCCCGAGATTGCAGCGCACGTTCCACTGGGCTCAAGATTTCATCAGGACGAAAACGCAGGGCTGAAGGAGACGAACCCAACTCCAATCAGTCGTTAAACTAAAAATAGCCAGCAGAAAGGGGCGCGCGCTGGCTCCCGCAATTGAAC